AAAAAACATCATTTATTATGTACGGTGGATGGGGACAAAATATGATAGCAGGCCTACTCTTTCTCATGAAAGACCTAAAATGTCACAACTCACAACCACATGATAACGTGTCTTAATCTGAGCCGTCAAACACGTTGGATGAATGCCCAGACAAGGGGATGAAGTATGATAGTCTATGCCTCGGTTGACTGAACAGTGGATAAAGTGACATAATCATTTTATGGAAATTCTAAAGATATTAAAGAAAGAGTATTTTGAAAGCAGTTGAATATGGAATAGCGGTTAATATTTAATTGTAATAAAAAGAAAAATAAACTCTGTACATATTAATACTTGAGCATATCTTGCCATTCTTCCTACAATATATGTATATATATATATATATACTTATTATTATTTTGCAAAAATCAGCATAGGCAAAAATATATATTTTTACTTGACACATTCATACTATTTCAGGTATAATATTTGCATACTGAAATGTCATATTATAAAATACAATATGCATAAAAATTGAATTATATAAATATGCATTGTTTTTAATAAATGACTGCCATTTGAAGAGTCAAATCTCAAATCAGAAATAAAAAATGGAAGTCTTTACTCTTTTATCCAATGGCAAACCAAGACCTGTTCAATTTCCTTTCAAAGGCACATTTAAAATTTTCACTACAATGGAAATTATTTAGAATTTTCACTACAATGGAAATTTATGGAGTTGGTGAATTTCATTTTTTATCAAACGTGGCAGTCGGTACTCTTGGGCCGAGTGATTTGGGTTTAATTTACTTAACACAGTAAGAGCACGTGGTGAATGGGCCCAACAAGTTGCTGTCATCTGGCCCATTTACAAAGTAGAAAGGTACAACCGCATGAAATCATGACCATCACGGAACAAACTCTCGTTTGAATTTATTTTTAATTATTGCCATTTTAAATGTTTGTTTTCGTGTGAGCACACGTGAGTGCATTCGAGTGTGAGCCTAAAAAAAAATGTACAAATATGGTTATTCGAATTGATATGTTCGTGTACACAACTCAAGATTCGTTTCTAGGAGTCAAGCTCGATTGATTCGAACAATTAATTGAGTTTGTTTATCAACCAAAGTGAGCCGAGCTTAATCGCAATTACCTCATTTTTTAAGTATTCAAATGAATCAACTTGAGTCGAACTTTCACGAACTTAAACGAACTGAATGGCCCTAATTTTCATACTGATGGAGCTTTAATTTTAGAAGATTGAGATAATAATCAATGATCCAAGTTCCCAAAATTGTAGTTTTAGTTGAGCAGATTATGAAGAAAGAGCATCTTTTTTCTCTATCCTTTAGTTCTTCCACATCTCCAATAGTGTGACAATTACCTAAAAGCCATTTGTCTCATTTCTCTTTATTTCAAAACAACCCTTTCACCACTTTATATACTTTCATTTAAATTAGTAAGATAAAAAGAAAAAAAAAATGTGTTCAACAAAGATTATGAACATACTAACATGCAACAATTATGAAATTTTACTTTATTATAATTTCTTATGCAGTACACAATAATGTTCATGACATTGACCAGCCCAATATCACAAGCCCGATTGTTCATCGCTCTCTCTACAGATAGCCCATCATGATTATTAATTTGGGCTGTCTTTGCTTATAATATCACCTGCACAAAACCAGCATTGCAATTTTTGTACCAACTCAATATTACTACCTTTATTACTCGATTTTTTTTAAGACCAAAACAGTATAAATTTTAACATAAACTTTAACATCGTGTACATTTGTTAGGATTTTATTTTTCACATAAAAAATAATTCATTCTTTATCTAAAAATAATACATTTGTTAGTATACTAAAAAAAGGTAGATTCAAAATTCTTTATCTAATTTCTTTTTTTCCTTATCTAATTCATTCTTATTATCTAATTGTATAGAAATCTGTTCTGATTTTGTGTAATCCTCTAATTGTATTTGTATCATATCCGATAAAATCGGTTTAACAAAAAAAATCCCATAACATCCGATAAGTAAAAAAAAGTACGTAAAATCTTTATTAAAATAAAAAAGTTTTATTTATTATCTAATTTATTATCTAATTGTATGGAAATCTGTTCTGATTTTATATTACGTACTACAAATTGTGAACCCGTGTTCAGGAGCTACTTAATCGACAAGCTATGTAGAAATAACTCATTTAGTGCTTCTGTCCCGTGTATACGGTATGTATTTGTATTACACATACTAGAAAATTGTGCACCCCGTGCATGGGCTCTGTACTAATAAATGACCTTAAAATTGTACACCCCGTGCATCACCCGTGTTCACATTTTGGCCTATTACAGATCACGTACTATATATATCCTGTACATTTTTCTTTATTCATTTATATAATTATAAAACTTGATAAATAACCTTAATTTTGTGCACCGTGCATCGCACGGGATCTGTACTAGTATAGATATAGATATAGATAATAAATTAATTAGTTAAGATGTGGACATATTTTGGACGGTTTGAATAAATAAGCTACGTTGAATTCAAAATATGATTACTCTTAAGTAATTAGATTTTCGATTTATCCAATGATTATTGTTCCAATATTATCTCTACACCATTAATTTTGAATTCAAATTGTGATTTTTCCGTGAATATAAACTACACAATTATTGTTTTCAAGCTTTCTATAAATAGAATGTTAAAGGTATTATTTATTTGGTCAAACGTTTTCAAAAAGGATTTATCCAACAACCTTTTTATATATAGATAGAAGTGCAAAAGAGTTTGATATCAAATTAAACCTTAATCTATACTTATATAAAAAGAGATTCTATTTACTACATTTACTATCCAAAAAAGTCAACTGCATTAAATGTCATTACTATTTTGGTATTATAATATTTTATTTATTTAATTGATTTATTTATTTGTTTTATTTTAAAAAGGTAAGTATGATTTGATTATATTTGGTATTTGATTATACCAAATATATTCCTATTTAGTATATACATTAAATACTTACTAAAATATTTATTTGTTTTATTTGTCAAAGTTAAGTATAGATTTGTTTATATTATCAAATCATAAAAAACTATTAAATCCATATTGTAAAAAAAAAAATCATATAATTTTATAACAATTCTACTACACTATTTATTTTATTATATAATAAATTGATAATTAAATATTATATGGTGAACAACAATAAGTAAAATTGTTACTTTCTCTTATATCAAAGGATAAATTTATATGCTAAAATTAAATTTTTATTAGTATAAATGTTTTAGTGAGATAATATATTAATTATTTTACTATCTAGCCCTAACATGCTCATATTTAATGTTTTAAAAGATGTAGAAAAAAAAACTTATAATAACTCTATTGTTTTTTAGACTTAAACGTTGATTAAAAG